CAGGCGAGCAGTTGGGAGCCAGCAGTCCTGAATTGTGAGAGGGATGTCTGACTGCCCATTTAGGCCCGATCTCACACCGGGCAGTCGGACATCCCTAAATGGGCAGTTGGACATCTTTTGAGGGGTCCCAGATTGGAGAGGGTGCAGGCTGGGATGAGGGACATATCCTCCCTGGCCCCCATGCACGAATTTCGTGCACCGGGCCTCTAGTGTTATATAAACTATTAGAGGCCCAGTGCACAAAAATTTCTGCACTCGGGGGGGGGGGGGCGTCCCTCAGCCCGGCCTGTGCCCTCTCGCAGTCTGGGACCCCTCGGGAGATAACGACCTGCTGGCTTAGGCCTGCTCCCGGGTGGCAGAGGGCAGGCCCAATCCCTAGGTGCAGCCCCTGGTCGGGCTCAGAGCAGGGCCGATTGGGGAGTTGGGGCGCCGCCCCCTGTCATGCACAGAGCAGGGCGATCGGGAGGTTGTGATGCCACCCTCAGTCACGCTCAGGGTAGGGCCGATTGGGAGGTTGGGGCACCCTCCCCTGTCACACTCAAGGCAGGGTCGATGGGGAGGTTGCGGCGCCACCCCCTGTCACTCACAGAGCAGGGCCCATCAGGGGGGTTGGGGCGCTGCCCCCTGTCACGCACAGAGCAGGGCCCATCAGGGGGTTGGGGCGCCGCCCTCTATCACCCACAGAGCAGGGCCGATCAGGGGGTTAGGGTGCTGCCACTCTCACACTCAGGGAAGGGCCGATGGGGAGGTTATGGCTCTACCCCGTCACACACAGAGCAGGGCCCGTGGGAGGGGGGGTTGGGGCGCTGCACCCTGTCACACACAGAGCAGGGCCGATCAGGGGGTTGGGGCGCCGCACCCTGTCACACAAAGAGCCGCAGGGCGATCAGGGGGTTGGGGAGCTCCCCCGTATCAGGCACAGAGCAGGGCTGATCAGGGGGTTGGGGCGCCTTCCCCTGTCACGAACAGAGCAGGGTGGATAGGGAGGTTGTGGCCCCACCCCCTGTCACACACAGAGCTGCAGGGCGATCAGGGGGTTTGGGCGCTGCCCCCTGTCACGCTAATCCCGGTGCCGGGAGGCCTCGCGGCTCCGCTGATCCTGGTGCTGGGAGGCATATTACCCTTTTACTATATAGGGTAGAGGCCTGGTGCACGGGTGGGTGCCGGCTGGCTTGCCCTGAAGGGTGTCCTGGATCAGGGTGGGGGTCCCCACTGGGGTGCCTGGCCAGCCTGGGTGAGGGGATGATGGCTATTTGCAGCTGGTCACACATCCTTCAGGGTGGGGGTTCCCACTGGGGTGCCTGGCCAGTCTGGGTGAGGGGCTGAGGGCTGTTTTCAGGCTGGGGGTGACTGAAGCTCCCAACTGCTCCTTTTTTTCTTTTTTTCTTTTTTATTCTGGGCCAACTTTAGCTTTGAGGCTTGGCTCCAGCTCTTAGGCCTCCGCTGCTGAAAGTAGGTTTCTGGCCTTTGCTTACAATGTTGCGATCCTGCTGGCTGAAGCCTGGCGACTAAAGCAGGTTTCTGGGGTTTTGTTTAGCTTCTATATTTGTTACATAGTTGCTTAGAGTTGCAGCTCAGAGGCCTGCAGCGGCAGGCGGGGAACGTTGGAGTCCTCCGTCACTGAAGCAAGCAATCCTCATGTTAGTTTTAAGCTGCCTGGCTGCCAGCCGCCATCTTGGCTGGCAGTTAATTTGCATATTGCCCTGATTAGCCAATGGGAAGGGTAGCGGTCGTACGCCAATTACCATGTTTCTCTTTTATTAGATAGGATTAAAGATTTGAATAGATTTCAATAATAACACCTTTCATATTTAAAATGTGTTCTCCTGGAAATAACCAGTACAGCAGCATCTAGTATGCTATTTTTAAATCTAATGTAGTGAGTAGACCTATACCGTATATTAGCCAAGTAAAGAGCAAACTCAAATATACTTCACCTTTCCATTTATATGCCTACTGTATCTTTCCATAGGTGCTTAATATTCTTTCATATCTTTCCTTTCAACAAGGAAAAGTTTTAACAGTAAAGAAATGTAATAACATCTCTGGTAAAGCAGAATAAGCTAATAAACCACTTCTCCCATAGAAAAATACAAATTCTGGACAAAATATAGACTAGCACAAATTTAGCTATATGTTTATTATAATCCCTGGAACAATCAAGAAAAGGTTAAAATAAAGAAATATACCAAATGGTCAATAGATAAATTAAAGTTGGATATTATAAATAACAAAATTATACAAAAGAGGGAAGGAGAAGCAGATAAACAGACATAAAGAAACACTCATAAAAATAGCAAACGATTATAAAATGGCAGATGTAAATTCAACCCTACAAATAATTTACATATGTATGAACTTATAAGCACAATTAAAAGTCAGGGATTGAATTAAAACAACAACACTCCAAAACTAGACCCCAATTGTTATTTAAAACAAAGTCATTTTAAATAGTTATATTGATTATAAAAGTAAAAGAATGGGAAAATATTTACCATGCTTACACCAATCAAAATAAAGTTGTAGTGCCGGTATCAAAGTCAGAAAAAGTAGACCCCAGAACAAGGGAAATAGCAGGATTAAAATGGACATTATCATAAAAGAGGTAATTGAACAAGAAGTTATAGCGATCCTAAATATGTGTGAACCTAAAAATAAAAGCTCTAAAATTAAGGGAATTTATATGTATAACTGAGAAATAACCCCAACATATCCACAGATACACTTGGAGATGTTAGTTTCTACTTAGTAATAAAATAGGACAGCAGGCAGTCAACCAGTAAGTATATTGAAGATCCAAATAACATTAGCAATTAACTTGGATTAATTGGTATTTATAGAACACTCTAGGTCAAGCATGTCAAACTCAGATGCTAACACAGGCCACATAAACAAGGTTTAAGTTGATAGGGCCACACAAAAAAACCAAAAGCTTCAATTTTCATAGAAACTTAGGTTTATTTCGATAGAGACATGCTGAATACAAAGGGCTGAAATAAATGCGTAATTGTTAACATAAAATAATAGAACATTTTAATAAAAATTAATATTTTTTCTTGAACATTAACTTAAGCAGACACTGAATAACTGCACAAATTAATAAGCGTAACACAAATAAACCTATTTGTCTTGTTCTCCAAAAGCCAAATATTTTCTGTTGCTCACACCAAACAAGTTAGTACGAGATTAATGATGTGGCAATCGGCTGCTACTAGGTGTACCGGTTAATAATGCGGATTTTTTTCAATAAATGGAGTTACACATTTGTTGATATATATGCGATTTCATATGTACACTACTTTGTTATATTGACAAGCTTCAAAACTTCATATGTCAAATTTTCTGAAGGTGTTAACATCATAGATATTTTTACGCTTAAAAATGTCAAATTTCGTGCCAAAAAAAGAGCATTTGCGGGAAGTTTTAATTCATTATTTTGAAGAAAAGTGCTGCTGAAAGTTATCATATACTTTATGATAGTAGGAGGAATCCTTGAAATCAATGACAACAAAATATGTTTCCTTGAAAATATCTAACCAGACTGATCAAGAAAGAAAAAACAGAAAAGACACAAGTTGTTAATAATCTGAATGAAAAAGTGGCCCTTACTAAAGACAGACCCTACAGATATTGACGGCCCTTTCCTTGAGGTACAGAAAGTAATTTACACCAGAAGAAAATTAAAATATATAAAGTACATACAACTTTAATTTAACAAAATTCAAATAAACAATGATTTAAAAGTCTTCCAACATTGTAAAAATTCTCAACAAATTATGAGTAGAAAAGAATGTCACTAAGTTGATAAAGGGCATTAATAAAAAAATCTAAACTAGCATCGTGCTTAAAGATTAAATGCTTTTTCCTAAAACTGGAAACAACACCTGATTATTGCTTCCCACTACACCTGTTTAACCCAGAAAATGTAGTGAGGAGAGAGAAAGAAAAGGCATGGAGTTTGGAAAAAAAAAAAAAAAGTCAAATTATGTCCATTCACATGCTGCATGATTGTGTGTAAAGAAAATTCCATATAATCAGCATAAAAACTTCTAGACCTGGCAGAATATACAGTGTAAAAAAGGTATAAACTTAGAAACAGATAAAGTAGAATTGTACTTTTATGGTGATGGGGAAAAAAAAGAATCTGAAAAAAAATGCATTTTTAGAGGAAGATGTACACAAATATGGTTAGTTGACCTTTGGCATGTTGACATTGGATAACAAAGGATAAAGAATTCAGTGGATAAAGAATAGTCTCTTCAAGAAATTTTGCTGGAAAAATTGCACATCATTTGCCAAAAGTTAATTTGTCTGCTATCTCACACTTTGTACAAAAATTAACTCCAAATGGATGATAGACCTAAATGTAAAATAAACTATCGAATTTTGATGAGAAGACATAAAAAACTTCTGTGATACTTTAGGCCAGTGGTCGGCAAACTGTGGCCCCTTGAGTGTGGCTCTTCCACAAAATACCACGTGCGGGCGCGCATGTACAGTGTGATTGAAACTTTGTGGCCACACTCAACGGGCCAAAGAGCCGCATGTGACTCGCGAGCCACAGTTTGCCGACCACTGCTGTAGGCAGTTCAATAAATATGCCAGGGTAGAGAAAAAGTTTTAAACTGGTGAATTAAGTAGGGTATTAGTAGTTATTTTAGTAGATAAATTTGAGTTTAACATTCAGGTTTGAGAAATGGCAAAAGGTGGGAGTAGGTTTCAATGATTTTCACATTCAGTTGATTAAATTGCCTATTTTAAAATGCTTGTGAATTCTCTAAATTCATACATATAAAACTTTTCTGCTAGTCGTGTGGTAACATCATAAAACAAGTATTCTCACTATTATATACTGACATGGCCTTAAGGTTTTTAAATCATATATCACTGGTAATTTTTTCTTTGATAATATTTTAAAGCATGATGAGTACTTTGTGAAAATATTTCATTCACATGCATAATCATTTTTATTTTTACCCTTTTTTTTGTATGTCCTACAGGAATGCTTCTAGTCACAACAGATACCCTTGGCCATGACTTTCATGTCTTCCAAATTCTGACTCATCCTTGGTCCTCATCACAAAGTGCTGTCCATCATCTCTACACTCTTCACAGGGGTGAAACTGAAGCCAAAGTAAGTTGTGTAATTTTCAGATGATTTTTCTTTGTTTAATGTGACATCTAATCTAGCTGGTTGTTATATCATATTGGAGCTTAATATTAGTGAGAATATACTTGGGTAATACAATGTTTCAGATAAGAAAAAATATTTATTCTATTTTGATCCAATAAATACATAAGCAGTAGGTGAACAATTCAATGAATGTTCAAACCCTGTAATTCAATTGATATCCATATTTCCAGGCCCTTTTCTAGGAATTTTGATTCTATGTACATGCATATGTATATAAATGAACAGACATATAATAGTACATGTAAACACACACATATTCACGTATTCACATATACACAAAATAATTGAGTTTTTGGTGTATATGACTATAGGGATATTATTCTGTGGTATACCAGGGCCAGTTCAATATGGCTAATTAGAAGCAGTTATACACTTCTGTCCCTAGCTGAGACTTACATTGATGTGAAATCATCCACAATGGGAGTGTTTCCATCATGGAAATCAGCAAACACTATAAGTCAGAGTAAATTTTTTTCCTTAGGGAGCCAGTTTTTAACATTTAACAGCAGTCCACTGTGTACCCATGCATGAGGGCATGCAAGCATGCACACACACATGCACTCACGTCCATACATGTACTGAGCGTTTGTATTAGGTATTATGCTAAGGGAAGGTATCCAGCGTTTACATTTCTTCTAGCAATATCTATAATAATAAAAGGGTAATATGCTAATTAGACTGGAAGTCTTCCAGACATCCTTCCTGAAGAAGCTGGAGCTGGAGGGAAGCCAGGCAGGTCCCGGGTACCTGTGGGCGGCCCAAGGGAAACCAGTCCTGGTCCTGGGTGCCTGCGGGCGGCCAGAGGAAGGAAGCAGCCCGGGTCCTGGGTGCTGGAGGGAAGCCGGTGCCGGCAGCTGGGGAAAGGAAAGCCTACTCTTGCATGAATTTCTGTGCATTGGGCCTCTAGTAATAAGATAATGAACTATTTGATGAGGGACTGTTTTTCTCTACTGAAGAATTCCAGTTTTTAATGTTAGAATTTAGACTTATTCTGGTGATCATTTATACACACACACACACACACACACACACACAATCATTATGTTGTATATCTGAAGCTAAAATAATGGTGAATGTCAGTTATACCTCCTTTGGGGGGAAAAAGTTAGAATTTTAAGAATCACTGTGTTGAATGCACCTAGGCAATAATTGTCTGTGGTTTTAGCTGATATCTTAACATTACCAAAGGGGAGCATCGGTTATCATGTGCTTCCCCATATGACACAATAGGATGTATAAGGCATCATCTATGAATATATTTCTACCGAGCATGCTGTATTAAGCCTAAATCTAATTCAGCCCCTAGAAATAATTAGGAAAGCATAGAGATTGAGGAACCAGTTAAACAATACCATGAGAATCTAGCTAGCTAACTCTAAAATGTGGGAAGCTCTTTTTTTTTTTTTTTAAAAATTCCTTTATTTCAGAGAGGAAGGGAGAGCAAGAGAGAGATAGAAACATTAATGATGAGAGAGAATCATTGATTGGCTGCCTCCTGCTTGCCCCCTACTGGGGATCAAGCCCGCAACCCGGGCATGTGCCTTTGACCAGAATCGAACCTGGGACTCTTCAGTCTGCAGGCTGATGCTTTATCCACTGAGCCAAACTAGCTAGGGCAAAAATGTGGGAAGTTCTTGATTACAAGTGTGACCTGCTTTTACAACAGATAATTGTCATGGTAAAATAAAAGTGGGAGCGTGACAGGGCTTAAAAGTAATTTTAGAGAATATTATCTAAGTACAAAGTGTGGACCTTGTTTGAATCTATTTCATACAAATTAAGTATAAAACATATGTAGTATTTCATACAAATGGTGAGATTTGAACATTTGCCTTAGTAGATATTGTTAATGAATCTAATGTGCTTATTTACTTGTGATGCATACAAAAGTATTTGCAGATGTGTAGAATTAGCTATAAAATAATCTAGTAGTAGGAGAGTGTTAGATAAAAATGAGAAAATAGGCAATGGTTATATTGATTATAAGTATTAAGAAATGTGAACTAAATGCAATGTATAAACCTAGAGCCTGATTTAAACAAAGTATAAAGAGATATTTTTCATATAGTTGAGAAAATAGACCTTGAGCTGGGTATTATATGATATTAGTTAGTTTTGCTGGGTCTGCAATTGTAGTTTTTTTTTTTTTTTTTAAGTATCTGTTAGGCATATATCATGAAGTCCTAAAATATTATGATATCTCTAATCTACTTTTAAATATTCTGGCAAAACAAAACTAAGAGATAGATTAAACAAGATTTGAAAGTGTTAATTATTGAAGTTGGTCAATATTGGCAGTTCATTATAGCAATCTATACTTTGTGTATGTTTAGAAATTTCTCTAATAGAAAGTAAAACAATACTTTTCAGTGTTCATTTTCAAAAGCTTTCTCAGCTATTCTTGGGCATTTTCTCATTGATGTAGTTTAGAGTAACCCTATTGAGTTATATAAATAATCTTCTGGAGTTTTTTTAATTTGAATTGCATTGAAATTACATTTTAATACAGTTTGAAATCATCTTTACAATATAGAAATTTTACATCTAGAAATTATATTTTAAAATTAGTTATTGCTGTGGTATGACAAAGCTATTTATTTTATAGCATATTTTTTTTCCTTTGCTAGTCTCTATTGTAAGGTCAAATAGTTTTCAGTAATTTTTTCAATTTTATAAGTAGAACATAATTTTTTGAATATCATAATAGTTCTTTTGTTCAGGTCTATTTTTCTTATTGCATTGGCTAGGAACTCTAAAATAATGTGTAACAGGAACTCTAAACTAATGTATAAATGTTAGCTGTAGTCCTTTTTAAAAATATATTTAAAATTTTTTTCTCATTATGCTTTAATTATAGCACTAGAGGCTCGATGCACGAAATTTGTGCAAGAGTAGGCCTTCATTCCCCCAGCTGCCGGCACCAGTTTCCCTCTGGCACCTGGGACCCAGGATTCCCTCGCAGCCCCAGCTTCGCCTGGAAGGACGTCTGGTCTAATTAGCATATTACACTTTTATTATTATAGACTAGAGGCCAGGTGCACAAAAATTTCTGCACTCGGGGGGGGGGGGGGCGTCCCTCAGCCCGGCCTGTGCCCTCTCGCAGTCTGGGACCCCTCGGGAGATAACGACCTGCTGGCTTAGGCCTGCTCCCGGGTGGCAGAGGGCAGGCCCAATCCCTAGGTGCAGCCCCTGGTCGGGCTCAGAGCAGGGCCGATTGGGGAGTTGGGGCGCCGCCCCCTGTCATGCACAGAGCAGGGCAGATCAGGAGGTTGCGATGCCACCCTCAGTCATGCTCAGGGTAGGGCCGATTGGGGGATTGGGGCACCGCCCCCTGTCACACTCAAGGCAGGGTCGATGGGGAGGTTGTGGCACCACCCCGTCACCCACAGAGCAGGGTCGATCAGGGGATTGGGGAGCTCCCCCCTGTCACGCACAGAGCAGGGCCCATCAGGGGGTTGGGGAGCTCCCCCCTGTCACGCACAGAGCAGGGTGAATCAGGGTGTTGGGGAGCTCTCCCCTGTCACTCACAGAGTAGGGTAGATAGGGGAGTTGGGGCACCGCCCCCTGTCACACACAGAGCAAGGCGGATCAGGGGGTTGGTGCGCCGCCCTCTATCACCCACAGAGCAGGGCCAATCAAGGGGTTGGGGCGCCGCCACTGTCACACTCAGGGCAGGGCCGATGGGGAGGTTATGGCTCTACCCCATCACACACAGAGCAGGGCCCGTGGCGGGGGGGGGGACGGGTTGGGGCGCCACCCTCTATCACCCACAGAGCAGGGCCGATCAGGGGGTTGGGGCGCCGCCACTCTCACACTCAGGGCAGGGCTGATGGGGAGGTTATGGCTCTACCCCGTCACACACAGAGCAAGGCCCGTGGGGTGAGGGGGTTGGGGCACCGCACCCTGTCACACACAGAGCCGCAGGGTGATCGGGGGTTGGAGAGCTCCCCCCTATCAGGCACAGAGCAGGGCTGATAGGGGGTTGAGGTGCCTTCCCCTGTCACGAACAGAGCAGGGCGGATAGGGAGGTTGTGGCCCCGCCCCCTGTCACACACAGAGCTGCAGGGCGATCAGGGGGTTTGGACGCTGCCCCCTGTCATGCTGATCCTGGTGCTGGGAGGCATATTACCCTTTTACTATATAGAATAGAGGCCTGGTGCACGGGTGGGGGCCGGCTGGTTTGCCCTGAAGGGTGTCCTGGATCAGGGTGGGCGTCCCCACTGGGGTGCCTGGCCAGCCTGGGTGAGGGGATGATGGCTGTTTGCAGCTGGTCACACACCCTTCAGGGTGGGGGTTCCCACTGGGGTGCCTGGCCAGTCTGGGTGAGGGGCTGAGGGCTGTTTTCAGGCTGGCGGGTGATGGAAGCTCCCAACCGCTCCTTTTTTCTTTTTTATTTTTTTTTTATTCTGGGTCAGCTTTAGCTCTGAGGCTCCAGCTCTTAGGCCTCCGCTGCTGAAAGAAGGTATCTGGTTTGTTTCGGTTCTATAATCGAAACTCTGTATCACCTCCAGCTCTGAGATCCCGGCTCGCTGAAAGCAGGTTTCTGGGGTTTTGTTTAGCTTCTATAATTGTAACTGTGTTTCAAACTGCAGGCTTAGAGGCCGGCAAGGCAGGCAGGGAACGTTGCAGTCCTCCGTCACTGAAGCAAGCAAGCCTCATGTTCAGTTTAAGCTGCCTGGCTGCCGGCCGCCATCTTGGCTGGCAGTTAATTTGCACATCGCCCTGATTAGCCAATGGGAAGGGTAGCGGTCGTACGCCAATTACCATGTTTCTCTTTTATTAGATAGGACTAGAGGCCTGGTGCACGAAATTTGTGCACGGAGGGGGGGTGTCTCTCAGCCCGGCCTGCACCCTTTCCAATATGGGACCCCTTGGGGGATGTCCGACTGCCGGTTTAGACTAACTGCCTCTGCCTGCCGCCCTCATCACCCCTAACTTGC